TTTTTTTTTTTTTTTTTTTCGCCCGTACGTCTTTTTTTTTTTTTTTTTAAATATTTAAAAAAAAATACGGAAAAAAAAAAAGGCTGCCTGTTTTTTCTTGTTTTTTCTTGTTTTTTCCTGTTTTTCTTGGTTTTCCTGATTTTCTTGGTTTTCCTGGTTTGCGCTCTCGCCCCTTGGTGCAGCCCCCCCGTGCCCCCCCAAGCCCCGCATGCCCCTCTGCATGGAGCCCCCCCTTTTGGGGAGGGGGCTGCAGGAGCCCCCCACCCTCTGCCCGCGGGGCTGCCGGGTCCTCCCTGCGCTCTTCAGCCCTTTTGACTTTTTGGTTTTCCTTCCTCTCTCCGGGATTTTGGGGTGGGGGCGCCGGCAGAGCCCTCCTCACCCCCCCCTCTCTCTCTTCTCTCCGCAGAGCTGGTCCGGATGGTGCTGAGCGGCTGAAGACCCCTCCCCATCATTCTGTGCCCCCCACCCCTCGCATCTTCTGTCCCCTCCTCACTCAGTTTTGTGCCTTTTCCCCTCATTTCCGCCACCACAGCCCCCCCAAAACCCCCAACCCTCAGCCCCACCGGCTAAATTATTGCTCCCACAGCATCCAATAAAATCTGGGAATGGTCACTGTGCCCCCCCAAACCCCCCCTGTGTGTGTGTGACCCCCTCCCCCAGACAGACCCAGCACCACCAGGCCGCTTCTTCCCGCCCCGGGGACTTGGAATTTTTATTTTTATTGGTTTTTTAAAAAAAGAAACGGGAAAAAAAACAAAAAAAGAACTAAAAAAGGGATGAGGATGATGAGGAGGAGGAGGAGGAGCGGGGAGGGGGGGTGGAGAGGGGGTTTTTGGAGGGGGGGGAAATGCCCATGTGCCAGGTGGGATTGGAGCTGTCTCATAAATAACCGGGGGGAGCAGGGGCCCGGCCCCCCCGGGAGACCAACACTTAAATAAAATCCGGGACAATCATAAAAAAATACCAAAGCTGGGGCTGGGGGAGGGCGGGGAGGGCGGGGAGGGGTCCTCGGAGGCGCCTTTTGGGGGCGGGAGGGGTCGGGCCGGGGGGGCTGCGGTGTCCGGGGGGGTCCCGGCCCGGGGCTCACTGCGTGGGGGGCACGGGGGGGGCCGGGG